AACATATCCAAAAAAATTTGGGAATAGATGCGGTGTGAGAAATGGAGTCAATATTGTAAAAGAAATTTTTGTAAAATTCTTAGTTTCCGAGAAAAAAATTATTGAAGTTGTAGTACATTCAATCATTACATAGCTGGACAACTCTAGTCTCTAACGTCATTCGCAATACGCGTGGGGAGCCACGTGGCCTCAGCGACTCCGAATACTGAAATTCGATTTTACAATCGTCGTCGTTGCGATAGTACTTACTGTGGTGGTGTTTACAGTAGTTTTTTAGTAGTTAGTGTCAAACATGGCTTGCGTGTATAGCAACTCGGAGTTGATGGAGACCGTTTTAATTTATGGTGAAGCAAGACAACATTTGTGTTTACACGTCGGTGGATAAAATTTTGAACAGTTGTTGTAACATCAGGTATGTCAAATTATTTTATAATTTAAAACCACAAATTAATTTTATTAATTAATAATAACAATAACTGCTAAAGCAGCTGAATTTGCTGATATAAAATAGGTGCTATAAAATTCTATTTATTCCTTTCCTTGCGAAAGTTTTGGTCCGTTTTTATCACACTTTGCCACCATGCCGGTTGCATTGTGAGAGGTCAAGTTTTACATTGGACCAGTTTCCAGTACCGTGCAGAAGTGTATTTTTAAATCAATTTCGAACTGACCTTTTTGATTTTTTCTTTACAAAATTGTATTTGTAAGAGTACAGAGTACCAGTGTATTTGTAAGTACATCCAGAATTTTTTTTTGAATAAGTTCTGAATCACCCTGTATAATTGCATTTATATCAGACGATAAAAAATGAAAGGTGGATTTCCTGGAATTATATCAGCTTATTTAATTCCGGAATACCTAATTAGGCACTGGATATTTAATGATAAATAAATAACCGACAGGAAGGTTGCAATACATAATTAATATATCTATGTACATATTAAATTTTAGGTTTGGGTGAAAGAATACCCATGATAAATTGTGAATATTTTTCCATGTTTCACAAATAATAATATCGATTTGAACCAAAACCTTTGTTTTAACTTAATCTTTTGATTTTCATATTACCATTTATTCTTCTAGGAAATGTAGGTATTCCAATATTTTGTGAATCCAAATGTAAATCGATTCGTGGTAGAGATTTATTACTCCGAAATATATTTCATGAATATTTCGGTTGTGATTACTACCTTTGCGTTAATTGCTACGTTCTAGGTGTGTTATTATTTTGACTGACTTGACAATTTTTTACAGCACATAGCTGAGGTATTGATAAATTGAACGATGTGACAATGGAAATAATTAATCATAGAAAAAGGACAATGCTCGGTATCGTTAATGTTGATCAAACTTGAGATTTTGAAATCGACATCACCTAACTTAACCAGCTGTTACTTCCTTTTCACTACCTACTCTTATTTGCATACAGGTGTCATTAAAGAGTTCTTTTCCTTTTGGACTCAGGGTCGACTTTATTCCGCTTACGTAAAATGAATTGTTTACTTCCAATTTCCTGTCATTGCATTTTATTTATTTTGCAAAATTTGCGATTTAGTTTGACGCTAATGGGTCATAGTTGTGTGGAGTTTCTATTTTCAAATACATATTTATAAAAGCTATTATTTACAAATTTAGACACTAAGTGGATACGGACATTTTTTACAGCTATTTTCGATGAACGACTATTAATATACCTAATTGTTATTCTTAGTAATCATTAATATTAAACACATCATTTTCTTCTCTACCAAAAAAGCTAATCTACATAGTATTATATACGGTGTAGCTCAAGATTGTGTTCCGAAGGAGGAAAACCTTTTATTTGTAAGTTGAAATGAGAAAATGTCATTCTTTATAAACTTTTCTGCCCCTAAGCTTAGTATTGACATTTTAGAGAAAATTGGAAGTAACCACAAGGAAAGTGGGTACTTCAATTTTTCAAGATTATTCTCAATCCTGAATTTCTACTCTTGGTAACAGAAATAATATGTATTGCTTTATTGATATTTCCCATAATTTTTATAATTTTATCATTGCAGCTGATACCACTTTGCTCAAAATTCAGAATGATTTCAAAACAGCAAGAGCAGGAAAATACCATAAAACATGAGCTTTTGATTTGAAATCAAGTGATATCAAATGAGATAATTATTTTTTTAAGAAAAGCAATTGAAATTTTATATTACGACTAAATTGAAATATGTTTTATTGGCCGTTCACTATATTTAAAAAATAAGGTGCTATAATTATAGTCATTCTTAAATTCCTCTAAAAATTCAACAAACAATAAAGCAAAGGATATACTAATATTTTTAAGTGTTTATAAAAATTTATTTTCTCATTTTACAGATAAAAAGTTTTTCTTCGTTTACAGATAATCGTGGAGCGCTCTATATCAGTAGGTATAGTCTTTCCGATATCAATTGAAGAACCAAGATGTCATCCTCTTGGTTCTTGGACGTATGTACCAGGTTCGGTTGTTGACGCAGCAACTTGGCATTGAAATATTTTAAAAATTTGTTCCCAGATTTATTTAGCTATATCTATATACAAGTCTGGTCGAACTAAACGTGGAGGTGGTAGAAATATTTACGCCCAGTTGAAGAATGCGAGCGCGGGCAAACAAATTACAATTACAGAGTTGCATTGGGCCACTGGGCAATAAATCTCAGCCGTTGACAAGTGGTCGACAAATTGTCCAGCAGTGCAGCGCAGAATGCGGAATTTGGTGTGATTCAGGTAATTTTAATTTATTATAGGCACCTTCTATTAATCATCGATATTACAATTGCGAAAGGGAGAAATAATATTATTGCAACATGGCATTTTGGTGTCCTTTTGAAACGAAACAAAACGAAATTTACAATCAATAAGTATAATAAAATTGTTTGAGGACATAAATAATTAAAATATGTTGTTGGTCAAATGAACATACAATAGAAATTTTCTGCACATTATATACAAATTATTATAATTTTTAACCTTTATCAGAAAACTTTTTTAAGGACGCCTATGAAACTCATTAAATTTTATTGCCAGACGTTTTTTACATGTTCAACTGACTTCGGTTGGTTATTATATATAAAAACTTACAGCTACCTACCAAAATAATAAATGAATTCGATAAATTCTCAGATTATCAAAAATAAAAACAAAATAAAAAAAATTAGATATGACGTTTTTATTAATAAGTTTACTTATTTTGTAGGATATTAATTAAAACTGAAATTTTCGAAATAAATGACGGTAGATACTATCTAGTTACGTGGATATATTTTTGTTATGGTCAAGAGATGATTACCTAGAAAAATATGTAAAAGTTAAATATTACATATTTGAGACAACGATAAAAATTTTCTTTTCTTTCAGAAACCTGCAAATTTTTTACGAATATTACTTGATATTTGATGCCCGTAGACTCAGATGTAGCAAAGTAAATCTGTCTTAGGTACCATACAAAGTTATCTTCCTTTTAAGTAGGTATCAATAAAAGTAATAAAATTTTACACAAAGGTTACCTTTCCCTATAACAAGTAGGACTAAAGTTGGCCTTCTAAATGTTTACAGCTAGCTATAAAAATGAAAAGTTACTTAATTTAAGTTACAGCTACAAAACGGTTTGCTGAGAAGCCCTCTTATGCCTGTGTCCATTGAAGTGCGGAAAAGAAGGCAGACTCGAAATTCTGTGTTAATTTTGAAGTGAAAACAGATTTTTATTTATTTTAGCTCCTTCCTATCTAAATGGAATGTAAACAATTTTCGTTAAAATTAATGATATTTGGCTCTTCTCGCTTAGTTCCATGAATTCCCGGACTAGAATTTTGCGCATATAAATTTTTGTTTATAGTCCCATGCAACGGAGATTCGGAACTCCCCTTGTCGTAAGTCAATTCTCGTGACATAATTATGTCCATCGGCTCACTCCAAAAATACTTGGAAAACGTAAATTGAGAATTAGTCAGATCTGAACTAGAACTATTAAAAACAGTTTAAATTAAACACAAATTTATAGAGATGCAGATTTAGACAGAACAAAACAATATTATTTTGTTAAACGACATAATTACGACAATTTTGTTTGCGACGTATTTATAATATTAATTAACAAATTATTAATAATGTTCATTAGGACAAATCAGATCGAAAGCACTATTTAAATAGCATAAGTGGACTGACAGTATTATAAACGAAATAGAGAAAACTTCGGCAAATATTTTGTATCTATATCTATCGGAATTTCATTCATGTTACCATTTTACCGATTGATAAAATACATATTTCTAAATAAACGCTAATATTAGAAACTAAAAAGGAAAACACGTAAGAAATACAACAATACCTGGAATCTGTTTAAAAATTGGAACATGCAGAATGGGTAAGTAGCCAGGTACTTAAATTTTAACGGACAAGTTAGGACATGTTCATGAGCGTCTCATTAATGTAGAGTCTCAGTTTCTAACTGGGCTTAAGAATAAAACGGAAATTTGCAAACGTCGCTTATGTTGACGACCACTTTAAGAGTTAAAATATTTAAGTATAAGATTATGAACCAATTATGGAATCTACCACGAAAAATAACTACTTTATATGAATATATTTGTTAATTATTTTTGAAAATAATTATGTATATTTACTACTTTATGTTCCTCTGGACAGCTCTCATTTCTGTTGGGTAATGCATATGATGACTTAATTAATATACAAACACATAAGTTTAGAATCAATTCAGTATTGTTTGAAAAACCAAACCACAAAATTTTATAGAAGTTGGACGTAAGCGGTATGTTTAGAATCACGTATTGCTGATGTTATAATGAAATTTACGTAGAAATAACATGCGGCATATCTATTGCAATGCGGAGCAGTGTGTTGCAACAGGTAAATTCGTACTTTTCTAACAGATTACACATTTGTGTATGAAATTAGATTATAAAAAAATTGACTGCATGCTATAAAAATGTTTGTTTTATTTTCTTAGAAACGTTGCTGTCAGTACTTACCATTCTATGCTCCGGTATCCTTTAGCGCAACAATGCAGTCCTTTAAGCTCCCCTACTATAGCGAACTCCTCCAAACTGGCTTCCTTAGTGAAGTGCATGAACGTCTCGCTACCATTGTAAGTGTTTTTAGAACAATAGTCTTCGATTCCGAAAACGTGGTTAACGCAAAACGGAAAGAGCACGACGAAAAAACCCACCAGATTAACAGCCATGTTCTTCATTCTAAATGGGATTTGATACAATCACTAAAGTATTTTTAATGAGTCACTTTTCAGTTGTATGTAATTGTTGGTTAATTGTTGCAGGTGTGCTGCAATATAAAACCATATTTTTTATTCGCACAGCTTTATGGAAACTTGCACCGATGTGCATTTATGTGAAGTTCTCCTAATAGCGGTTATAGTTGAAAAACAAAGAAATCCAATTGTCACCGCGCTATATTTACACTGTCAATTTCAAACGCCGGGTCGTGTTCGGCTTTCGTTGAGGAAACACTGCCACCTAACTACTATCACTGCTGCACGTTGAATGAATATCGCGATGCCGAGTCGAATGCCAAGTTCGTAGAGTACCTGCGCGCATCAACCATGGTGGTGGAACATGCAGAAATGTGCGGATGACAAGGGCGGTGTGGTAGCAACAATATGCCTTTGTGAAGGGATTTAGAAAGTCCTACTGCGCGTCCTAAGTCAATAACTAAGAAATTATGAAAATTTCTCTCGTGCCCTACGTTGTACATCATAAAATTATTAGGTACTTTATAATAGATCGCATCTTACCATCTATTAAATTTTATTGCAAAGGTAACTGAAACTGCAATGTTTTTCGGAAGCTGTAATCAGTTTAATCCCATCAGTAATGCCAAAGATTTTGCAATACATTCTATATTTTATTCTTTATTCTCGACTACTTGTGTGTTGCATTAGGTTACGAAAATAAACAATACGAATAGTTCCGATTAAATTTGAACATGTTATAGCATTGATCGAATAATTATGTTCTTCAATGTACATTTTGGTTTAATAAAGTGAAGTTTCAACTGTCGAATGTGTAAAATATATTTTTTCGCATTTTGACTGATTTGCTATTTTACTAAATTCAAAATCGTTTACTAAAGTGGCACTTTACCATTATGAAATGTCACTCTACTATATAGTAATATTAATAAAAAACCGTTTGACAGAAAATTGTTTGTTTAAATATTGGAAACATCGTTATATGTATACAGCGTGTCCCGTTTTTCAGGTTAAATGGAAATGTGAGAAGGCTGTGGACTTTCCGCAAGTTAATTTTTTTACAAATACAGGGTGATTAGTATTTTTTCTTTGTCCGATTGGTATTTGTTTTCACCTTCATGGCAATCTTTGACCTGCTTATTATAATTTTTAGTTGTCTGGTTGGTGAATTTGGTATATGGGTATTTTGATGGGTGTTGAATTATCTATTTGATAAAAAAGTGACTAATACTACTTTCTGGAAAAACGACCCTTTTAAAAAATCGTAGTAGGACAGAATTTTGTCACATCAATAAAATGATTAGTAGAATATAACCTCCCTTCAGGGCGATTCATTAACAATGGGAAAATCGAAGGCTGAAGATACTACACGTAAAATGGTGATGATTGAAACAAGCCTTATCTGAAAGTTGATAGTTTCGGAAATACAGGGCGTTGAAAGTTAAAATTTCAAATAGTTTTTTTGCTATTATTCTGAACATATGTATGTTAGGAACTTAAAAATTTGTGTAACTATATTTTTTTAAGCGACGAATAAGATGCGTGTTGTAATTTCAGCGTTGCTCATAGAGGACGCCACTTACGACCAATTTTATCGAAAATTTAGTTAATAACTTTTTACCCTGTATATCTAACATGAAACTTGATTCAAAACCTGAAAGAGCAATCATTTTTCCATTAATTTTGTATTCTCGTTTCATTTCGGAATCTCGATCCGTTTTCGACAAAAATCGATTTAACGAACACTATCTTTTGATAATACGAGAAATTAAAAGCGAAACAAACCAAGTGCTTCTTCATGTTATTACAACAATTAACAATAAAACAAATGAAATTTGTAATAATGATCTAAAGTAATTCTTCGAAGAATCCACCGTTGACACTGATACACTTTACACGTTTTCTGGGAGATCTTCGAGTTTGAAACAGCATATTGGGATTGCATTTGACTTTGTTGTCATCGATTTGTATTCTTTGCCACAATTCTTCACGCGAACCAATAGATTCTTTGTAAAATATATCTTTCATTCGAGACAAAATAGAAAAATCGAGAGGATTGAAGTCCGCCCTTCTGGGTGGCCAAGTAAAAATGCTTCCACGGCTTGAAGAAATTCCACTTTATTTAAGAAGAGACATGTGGTTCATACACGACGGAACTCCACCGCATTTTTCTTGGCCAGTGCATGCATATTTAGACGCAGTTTTTCCAAATCGCTGGATTGGCCATGTAAGCATTTTTGCTTAGCCACCCAGAAGTCTGGACTTCAATCCTCTGGATTTTTCTATTTGGTATCGAATGAAAGATATAGTTTACAAATAATCTATTGGCTCGCGTGAAGAGTTGTGGCAAAGAATACAAATCGCTGCCAACGAAGTCAAACGCAATCCCAATATGATGTTTCAAACTCGAAGATCTCGCAGAAAACGTGTAGGGTGTATCAGTATCAACGGTGGATTCTTCGAACAATTACTTTAAATTATAATTACGTATTCTATTTGTTTTATTATTAATTGTTATAATAAAACGAAGAAATACTTGGTTTGTTTTACTTTTAATTTCTCGTATTATTAAAACATAGTGTTCGTTAAATCGATTTTTCTCGAAAACGGATCGAGATATCGAAATGAAACAAGAATACATAATTTATGGAAAAATGATTGCTATTTCATGTTCTGAATAAAGTTTTATATTAGACATACAGGGAAAAAAGTTATTAACTAAATTTTCGGTAAAATTGGTCGTGAGTGTCTCTATGAGCAAAGCTGAAATTATAACAAGCATTCGTCGCCTAAAAAAATTTAGTTTCACAAATGTTCAAGTTCCTAACCTACATATTTTCAGAATAATCGCAAAAAACTATTTAAAACTTTAACGTCCAACACCCTGTATTTCCGAAACTATCAACTTTCAGATAAGGCATGTTTGCGCCAATCATCACCATTTCACTTGTAGCATCTTCAGCATTCGATTGTTAATGAATCACCCTGAAGGGAGGTTATATTCTACTAATCATTTTATTGATGACAAAATTCTGTCCTACTACGATTTTTTAAAAGGGTCGTTTTTCCAGAAAGTAGTATTAGTCACTTTTTTATCAAATAGATAATTCAACACCCATCAAAATACCCATATACCAAATTCACCAACCAGACGACTAAAAATTATAATAAGCAGGTCAAAGATTGCCATGAAGGTGAAAACAAATACCAATCGGACAAAGAAAAAATACTACAATATAAATTTAAAACTTTTAATTATATTAATTAATTATTATTAATTAGTTATAAAAATAATAACTTACAAAAAATATAATGAATTATAAATATTAAGTGTGTAAAAAAATTGCAAAACGTTAATCCGAATTAAATTTTAGTTTTCTCCACCAAACCTCCTTCCAGTAAAACACATTTTTCCAATCCTTTTCTTAAATTTAAAAATAATTTACATAGCTGTTGTGGAGTAATCTCTGCACAAGCTTGTTTTATGCAATTCATTAGGTCATCCAAATTCCTTGGTCTGTTTTTATAAACTTTTTGTTTTATGAAACCCCAAAAGTCCATGGTTCCAGAAAACTAAAATTTAATTTAGATTGTTTTGCAATTTTTTGTTTAACAACTTAATATTTATAATTCATTATCTACATTTTTTGTACGTTAATTATTATTATTTTTATTGTGGCCGCAATTAAGTGTTAAATTTATAGTGTCTGTATTTTTATTTTGTCCGATTGGTACTTGTTTTCACTTTCATGGCAATCTTTGACCTGCTTCCAGTTATTATAATTTTTAGTTCTGATTTTTCAAAGTTTGGCACCACATAAAAACACTCAATAGACATTTATCGTTCAAATTTGATAGGTATTCAGTGGGTGTTGAATAGCCTGGTAATATTATCTTTTTGATACAAAATGCCTAATACCACTTTCTGGAAAAATGATCCTTTTCAAAAATCGTAGTAGGCCAGGATTTTGTAAAATTTGTAAAAAATGGTTTGCGGAAAGTCCACAGCCCTCTCACATTTCCAGAGGTGTTAACCTAAAAAACGGGACACACTGTAGGTATATTAAAAAAAATTAGAATTATTCAAATTTTAAACTTAATATTTATTAGTACCACTTTCATTAATAAGAACTTATCGTCTGGAGGCTCTTTTAAAATCATAGTAACGTTTTCCATAGTCAAAACTTTTGATTTCTTTGCTTCGTATGTATTATTTTGAAGTTTGAAAAATGCAAGTTGTTTTGTATATTGTGTTTTATCCATATTTTCATTTATTCGTATAGTACTTTTCAACATGGAATATGTAGACCATAAACTGGATGCCTTAAGAAATTTGGCATGAAGCGACGCAAGGCATTGTATATGAAAAACTCTAAAATATGTACAAAAAATAGCTTACCTTCTCTATAAAATTCGCCAGCATTACACTTTCATCAGTTCTTAGTGCGTTTTTTATTATCCTCCACTTAAAAATATTTCATATACCTTCTCGTATTTTTCCTTGGATTTTAAAGGAAGATAGCTCGAAGATTCTTCTCGAGCGGCAAAACTAAATCCTGAATTTGAATTGTTTTTTGAATTACTGAAGTATTTGCTAAGTCTAAGCTGTATTATATAAAAAATGACAAAAAAAGTTCTTTATTGAGGACTGAAAATTGGTGTTACACTGGAATTTTTTATTTTAAAATTTGTGAAAAAACATTATATTTTCCTATTTTTCAAACTACTATGCTTGACGAAGTCAAATAGTAACGTACTGGTAAAAAGTGAAATTAAGCCAAGTAACTAATTTTATTAAAAAAGCTTGTCTTCAAGACGGTCAAGTAGGTAGATTCTAAAAATATCAAGCAACTTGATTTGATGCACCGCTATCAGAAACTCGTAATAAGGACTAATACACTATAAAATGTAACAGTATATTAACGTAAAAATAAATATACTTATAAATATAAAATACTATACTCAATCCTATTAGGTATTAGTGGGTACATTTTATTTACATCTCTTATGTGTAAAAGTAAATTTCCATATATACATATTTTATACATTTCTTAAAAATCTTACAAATAGGTATCTAGCAGGCCTTCTATATGTTTTTTTTGTTCTCTACAACATCCATCCATCTTGTCATTTCAAGGAATACCTAAATCAACAACGATGTTTTAAAACCTCTCGTCACTAAATCGGTGATCAGAAACACTTTAAAAACCAACGAAATCACTAATTAAGTCAGTTAAATTGATTTTAATTAATTAAAAAGATAAAAATTGAGTAATCTTATAATCATTGAGTACCTAATTGAACGGGTGC